GCAGCAGATGCCTGGTCCCGACTCTCGGCCTGGTGGTTCGTCTTCTTCTCTCCAGGGGAGCCAATCCCCCTCCTCGCACGGAACACCAAAGAGACTGTGGATCGTCGGGCCAAAAATCGTCGACCTCACTGAAGATAGTGTCGAGGATAGGTTCGTGCTCCCACTCTGTCATTTGCAACCTACATTCTTCTGTGGGTTCAATTCTCTAGTGGTGGGTGCCGCGGAGACAAAAGCCATCTTGGGCACTGATCGGCAGACGAGGAAGAAGGCTTTGGCGAAGGATCTGGCCGCAGTGATTCGGGTCTTTGAGACGGCTATGGTCCTCAATGATGAGGCTTGACCTTTAGCTGACTTCTCCAAACTGCAGGCCGACCTTGCGACCGTCAAGTCGGAGAGGAGCAAACTGTTTGTTGATCTCGACCAGGCAAAGGAAGATAGTGTTGCCTAACATAAGCTCTATGATGAAGTGGAGAAGCAGTTGAAGGTCGCGGGCGAAGAGAGGACGAGGCTCTTGATGCGGATCGCAGAACAGGAGGCAGCTTCGCAGCCCATGGAGGACGAGACCGACAAAGAATAACTAATGGGATCCCAGGTAGCCCTGGTGTGTAGGATGCGGCAGCTCGAACATGATTGTCTGGGGCGCTTGAGGTGGGGCTACGATAGTGCCATGAAGCAGCTCCGACTCGTGAATCTGGACGTCCCGTTTACCACCGCGAGGACGGGGCCCTTCCATCAAATCATCGAGGGTCGCCTGGTCACGCCAGAGCTTGAAGAGGAGGACGAGGCTCTGGTCGAAGATGGTGGCGAGAAGGAGGAAGCCTCTTAGTTTGTTTGTTGTTTTTCTAGCTTACGTGTCTGTGCTATTTTCTTGGCCTGCGTGCCTATTTTCGATGTATCTGTTTCTGGCTCGTGAGGTCGTTCTTGTAATATTTCGACAATAGGCTTTGCCCGCCATTTGGATATATAGCAGCTTTACCTTTATTCATTGCGTGTTTTGTGTTTCTATGCTTGAATTGTATTTATGTTTGTGTTCTTGCTCGACATGTTTGATGACCGACTGTGCGGGAAACTGGTCAGGTGATCGGTGTTGGTATTTGATCGGTCATGGGTCAAGATCTCAGTCGAGGTCTTTTTCCTGGGCGTGAAATGTGAAGTGTAGAAGTCATGATTGATTTAAAAATAGAGGAAAGAAAATAAGAGAGAAGGAAACAAAGAGGAAATAAAATAAAGCACTAAAAATAAAAGAGACACAAATAGAGAGATTACACCAGAATTTATAGAGTTTCGGCCTAACCACTTAACCTACATCATCTGCCAAAGAATTTTTTCTTGAGATTTCTAGTATAAAATACTTTGAGCAAATATGAAATTTTTCAAATTTGTCATCACTAATTAATTAGCAACCCTAATAATTGATTAGGAGGCATTACAAAAGAAATGATAGATTAACCCTAATGTGACCATCGATTATCTGGTGTAAACTACACTCCTAAAGAATTATTCAAGGTAGTAACTACTAGCCACTTGAGTAAATTATTTTTTGGCGATTTATAAAAACAGTGCAATTTCTAAAACATTTTAGTGTGTGTGTGCATGTGCGTGTGTGTGTATACGTGTGTGTGTTGCCTTAGTATCTCATGAAATAATTTTATACTATTACAATACAATGATCACTCAGACGCAGGACCATGTGAACTTTCACACTTCCGATCTCTTTCACAATCTTGAAGCTTCAAGATCCCTTGCTAGATTCAACATGGGTTCATCTATTTATTTGAGACATGATTTCTTCTATCTAATGAGGATTGATATGACTTATTTGATAGGCACAATCACCAACAGATACTTGATTAGATATTTTTAGTTACTCCACTAGACGCCTCTTGAGTTTAGGTGTTGTCAGCATCAAAACCACTAAGGGTCATTTTCTACTAAGATCATCAACCAATGGTTGTACCTACAAGCACATATCTCCATAGTAACAAGTTTGAAGTCAAATAAGAGTTGGATTATGGACTAATGTTTGAATCAAAGTGCTTGCATATATGACCAACAATTTGTTTTGACAATGACAACTGACGAAGCCACAATTTTGAAGACAACAACTCCATAAGTCAAATGACTTATGGATGTTGGGAAATATCTATGACAGAGGGGGTTATTAAGGCTTACAAAGTTAACGATATCAGTACAACTTGACTAAAAATGTTCGATGAACGTGAGTTCCTTCTACGCAATGTGAGGTAAATTGGTATGTTCATGGACTTAAGCAAATTTTTTTTCCATAAGCATGTTTGATGATTTATGCTATTGCGCTATAATTGAATGCAAAGTTTTGAAAATTTTGCATGGTGCGTTGATAATTAAAGGTCTACATTTTCAATGGGGTGAAATCTATTTCCTCTCTATTATCAATGATTTTTCTAGGGTATGAGTCTACATTATAAAAAGTAAAAGTGACACATTTAAAAAATTTAATGAACGGTATACTCTTATCTAGTAAATCAATCGAAAACTAAATTGAATATATCAAGAACCGAAAAATGACCCAAAGTTTGTTTCATAACAGTTTAATGGTTTTTATAGAAAATAATCTATCAAGAAATTTAGAATTTTTGTTGGCACACACCTCAACAAAATACCTTAGCATAACACATGAATATCACCATTTATGAGAAAATGAGGTGCATGTTGTTAGAAGTTGAGTTGCCAAAGACTTTATGGAGTGCAATTGTTGCTGCAACAACTTGATTAACATATGTCCATCTATAAGAATAAACTTCAAGACACCCGTGGAAGTTCGGAGTGAGAAACCTATAAACTACTTAAATTTGAAGAATTTTAGAGCTTTGGAGTTTGCTAATATAAAAACAAGACAAACTTGATGTTAGGGTTGTGAAGTCAATCTTTATTGTTATCCATAAAGGGTAAAAGGTTACAAACTGAAGATGGATCCTAGAGGATCAAAATTTATCATGAGCACACGAGACTTGTGTGGAGATGAAGTACAACGACCTGTAGGTTAAAGAATCAGAAACTATGATGAAAAATACTCAATTTGAAGTGGAAGTTCCTACCAGTGAGACTCGAGACAAGGAGGTAGTTGAGACTGGTGTTTCTAGTAGTATTGAATGATAACATACATTGTTTCCTAATTATCTGTTGGATCATGATAAAGTAAGGATGAAGATTATGCAACCTCAAAGGTGCGATTATATTGATCTTACTAGTTATGGTTTGAATGTAGTCGAAGAGTTGCAAGAGTTTTATAACTAAAGTATATAAAAATATAATTATAATATAATATTAAAATTTATTCATATGTGCCACAATACCAAGATTTTTATTTTGTAACAAGATTTAAATGTCATGAAAAAACGTGTATTTTTATTTTGCAACAAGATTTAAATGTCTTGAACAATATAATTTGCATATTATTTATAATTTTTAAAGCTTATTTTACCAGTCACCCCAAACTTTTTATCATGGCCATTGCAAATAGTACTTTACAATGAGTTTGATTGTGAGAGTGAAAAATAATAATTTTGAGTGAACTGATTTTATAAAATTAATTATAATTAAAAGTAAATTGTATGATTTAAAAAAAAATACATACATTCACATGAGCATGAACTCATCATTAAATTTCAATATAAAATTAGAATTGCATTAAAAAACTACAAAAATCGAATATATAAAAATCAATTTTCAAAAGTGAACCAAAGATAGATTTAATGGCGTTTCTTACCTTTTACTTATACACGAACAATTCAATTAACCAACCCTATGCTAAACGTAGATTTTATTCTTTCAATAAAAGTGTAATCTTAACCTTTCCCATTTGAATCTTACTTTTTGGTGCCTATCAAAAACAGACTACCTTTCCTTTACTTCACTTCTCACTTACCACACCAAAATCTCACTCTCTTCAATCTCCAAATTTCTGCGTCATCTCTCACATCACCACTAACCACACCCATTCTCTCCAAAAATTCCAAATCCAAACCCCAAAAAGCAACAAAAAAAATTCTCTATCACTCACAAGTCACAATACTATACACACTAGCACCAATCAACATTCTACTATACCCTTTGTTGCTTCAATTCAATCTTTCTGCTACTTTACTTTACTTTTAACTATAATACTAAATATTATAATATATAAAACACGGACATTTCAAACACAACCTCAACACTGATATATCGACATAAATAATAATAAATTAAATATATTATAAATATTAAATCTCGTATAAATATAAATACAAATATAAATATATAAATATTTTTTTTAAAAATATCGATAGTATAAAGATTATAATAAATTATCCGGATCATTAAGTTATTTCAAATAACAAAAAGAGTCTTTTATACTTTTCTCTCTCTTTTTTCTCTCTCTATAAATATAATATAGTTCAGTTTCTTCAGAACAATAGAAAAAAATCTCAGAGTCTAGTTTCTTTTCCTGCTTTTGCGGCTTCTCGCCGTCTTTGCCGTTTAGCTTCTGCTTTTTTCTGCACCAATTGGTGGCGCAAATTAAAGGCGTTACCATTTATTACTCTCTTCTCTGTTTTTCTTCCTCTTCATTGTTGCAGTGAACCTCTAAAATTGCATTTAAAGCTTGCTTCTATACACAAAAAGAGAATTCTATAGCCATTAATCTCTCTGCCACTTTACTGAAATTGGTTCTCCACATTCAATTACTCAAGCGGTTTCCTTCTTAAATAAGGGGTTGCTTTGTATTTTTATCAACACTTTTGAAGAAACAGAGATAGAAAGAGACTTAAGACTCAACTAGTATAAAGGTTGGTTCTTACTTCTCAGTCTTTTGCATTTGATTGCTTTTTCTTCAAAAATTCTCTATTGCCCATTTCATTTTTTGGTTAGTAATTTTTACAAGTTGAATTTATTTTCGGTTTTTGGATCTGGGGTGTTTTTATTTTATTGATCATGTTTTTTTTTTATATGTTTCAGATCCATAAAGTTTTGAAGACGGAACAATGTTGGGTCAGAAACAATCAGAGGAAGCAATAGTTAGCAGTAGTTTCAATGAGACAGATCAACAAGAATCAGTACTTGGAAAGGAAGAAGAGCAAGAACAGGATCATTCATTCAGTGTCAAGAATTTTCTCTGGCATGGTGGTTCTGTTTGGGATGCATGGTTCAGTTGTGCTTCAAATCAAGTATAAATAACTTTTTGTGTGTGTTGTTTTTCTCTTCTTTTAAGTCTTCATTATAACTCATTTTGATGTTTTTTTTAGGTGGCTCAAGTGTTGTTGACACTGCCATATTCATTCTCTCAACTTGGCATGCTATCTGGGATCTTGCTTCAAGTATTCTATGGAATTCTTGGAAGCTGGACTGCTTATCTTATCAGTGTTCTCTATGTTGAGTACCGAACCAGAAAAGAAAAGGAAAATGTTAATTTCAAGAACCATGTTATTCAGGTATGTTTCTTTTTGTTTTTCTTCCTACAAACTAATCATTTCAAGATCATAGTTTTTGCCACCCGTATGGTTACGCTAAGTCGAATCAGAATCAGTTGATAGTTGTGCAGAAATCAGACCACATGAGAGTGGGTTCTAATATGCGATAATCTAGATATATGTAATGACAAATTCTGATTGAAACTTATTGAAATTGATTTCTTGTAGTGGTTTGAAGTGCTTGATGGACTACTGGGTCCATTTTGGAAAGCATTGGGTCTAGCTTTCAACTGTACTTTCCTTCTCTTTGGATCTGTGATTCAGCTTATAGCTTGTGCAAGGTTAATTATCTTTTTCTTCATTTCTTCAAAAAATTTGTTAGCACTAGAAATATGATTTCATTTAATATTTCTTACATTTTTGTTGATTGAAACAGCAACATCTATTATATAAATGACAACTTGGACAAAAGAACTTGGACTTATATATTCGGAGCATGTTGTGCTACAACTGTGTTCATTCCATCGTTTCATAATTACCGTATTTGGTCCTTTCTTGGACTTGGAATGACCACTTACACCGCTTGGTATCTTACTATAGCAGCTATTGTTCATGGACAGGTAAATAAAAAAATAAAATTCTAAAGTCTGTTATTTAAACCATTATTATTGTTGTATATTATTAGATAACATTTTTTAAAATAATTTTGCAGGCAGAAAATGTGACACATACTGGTCCAAAAAAGTTAGTGCTGTATTTTACTGGAGCAACCAATATACTATACACATTTGGTGGACATGCTGTTACAGTGTAAGTTTTTAGAATATATTTTTTTTTTCATTTTCAACGTATCAATCCATTTTTTTTTCTTCTTCTCTTACCAGCTTTTGCCGGTAATATCTTTTTTTTTGAGATCATGGAAAGATTTTTTTTTTTTTTCATGGAAGGAAGAAAACTATTTTAAAGGGAAGATTCTAGTAGTAGTAGTGGATAATAAAATTTATGTAAAGTGTATAATGTAATGTTTCACAAGTTAACAAAAATTCATTATTATAGTCTATAAGCTAGATGTCGTCATCTAGGGTCATAGCATAGCCTTTAGTCATAATAGCATTTGTTCTTTAGTTAATCACCATTACTTAATTTGGTTTTAAAAGACAATAATGTCCTATTCTATTGTAAATATTGGAGTGTTTTTTTTAATCCATCATAGTTAAGACATGTTTGCTCCCAAGATATGAGGATTACTATCCTCAATCTTAATTAATTGATCATACAAAAATCAATATTGTTAATTTTACTAGAATTTTAATCCTGGACTTTACGATATATAAATATGTGTTAGAGTTTCAAATGGATGTTACCACATTTATTTATATAAAAAAGATAATTAAAGCTTAAAATTTGTTTTTTTGACTTTTATATTTATTCTAATTTAAACTATATGGCATGTTGTTTGGCTGGCTCCACACCTTTTTATGATTGCAATGTAATTCAGATAATCTTGTAAGTAAAAACAAAGTGACAATGGTATCAAAAGAGTATTGAAAAGTTCCTTTAATTTTCTTTAGCTTTTTATAGAAATTCCAATGTGATCAATTATTGTGATTATTCCATAATCTAAATGAAAAAATAAAATAAAATTTGCAGAGAAATTATGCACGCCATGTGGAAGCCACAAAAATTCAAATACATATATTTGCTGGCGACTTTATATGTTTTCACATTAACGATTCCTTCTGCTTCTGCGGTTTATTGGGCATTTGGTGATGAACTTCTTAATCATTCCAATGCTTTCTCTCTTCTTCCCAAAAATGGATTTCGTGATGCTGCTGTTATTCTCATGCTCATTCACCAGGTATTTTAATTTCTTAATACTTTATATATTTTCTGTTATAGAATATTTTTTATTTAATAGAAAAGGTAGAAGGAATAAATGATAGGGAATGTTTATAAACTTTATGTAAAAAGAAGAATATAATTCCGTATTTATTTAAAACTACTTCAATAGAATCTTATTACATCACTTGTGTTTTCCACTTCTAATAGAAAATTTAATATGTTATTTTTTGTTGTTACAAATCTCTCTTATTTATAAAGAAAAATAATTTTTTAAATTTATTAAATAATTAATATATTTAATTTATTAAATATAAAAATAAATAAGATCTCTCCTATTAATAATTAATATATTTGATTCATTAAATATAAAAATAAATAAATTTTTTCTTATAAATAAGATCGGAGAGAGAGAAGTTTTTGAACTAAATACTTTTTTTGATCACATATTAAACTATACTAGTCAAATTTCAGTGATTTAAAAACAAATTTATACAACAAAAGCACAAGTAATAAATGCAGTGGTTGGCCTTAAAAATTGCTTTTATTAAATTATTGAATATTTTTATCTATATTTGTACGAAAAGAAGATTCTAATTTTTCTCACCAATAAATGTGTGCAGTTCATCACATTTGGTTTTGCTTGTACTCCATTGTACTTTGTATGGGAGAAAGTAATTGGAATGCATGACACAAGAAGCATTTGTTTAAGGGCACTAGCAAGGTTACCAGTGGTGATACCTATTTGGTTTTTGGCCATTATTTTTCCTTTCTTTGGACCCATTAACTCTGCTGTTGGAGCTCTTCTTGTTAGCTTCACTGTCTACATCATTCCTTCAGCTGCTCATATGCTCACTTATCGAAAAGCCTCCGCGAGACAGGTAAATCACTCCACCATTTCTAAATTTTTCAATTTTAGGGTTTTTCTAACGCATGCAAGGTAAATTACTCGACGATTTCTAAAACTATAATGACTATTTGATTTGAGTAAATACAATTAAATCAGAACGATTTCTAACTTTGACTATTTGATTTGAGTAAATACACATTAAATCAGAACGATTTCTAACTTTTTAGTGTCGATTTGATTTGTGAAAATATTGTTACTTTTATTTTTAGGGTTTTTCTAACGAGCCTAATGTGTGAAAACCCCTAAATATAAATTATAGTTTAAAAATAAAATAAAATTTTAAAGTGAAGATAGAAAATGACATAAGATAGAAAATGATGGAACAAACAATATTTTTGCTAGACACTTTACATCATAGAACTAGATTTAGTTTTTGCATTATGTAATTTCATGTGAGTCTTTACATAATTTAAGGTTGATTTTGTTTGGGTCATTTGAAAAGGCTTTAAATTAGATGTGTTAGGTTAATGTCATGTCACATGCTTGAGTATGCTTTTTCTCTTAAAATTTGACTTATTCACATGATTGAAATAAGTGTATTATGATATGATTGTTGCCTAATCATATGCCTAATTGGGCTATTAAGGTATAATTTTTTTAATGAAATCCATTATGCTTTGCTAATACTAGATAACTAAGTACTTGGATTAGGGTTTTGATTATAGATCGGTTTGCAATAACTTTGTTTTAGTTTAGTAGTTTGATGGTTGAAATTTTACCTTTTTAAATTAGCTGTATAAGACATTTAAGGTTCGAACCTATGGATTCGATAGGTTCGCAATCCGTTGATCCTGTCATGTTATCTGCTAAACTGATTTAACGAAAAGATTTTAAATTTTCAAGCTAGAAAAAGTAAACATGGCATTAATGTGATAATGTGAATCTATTGGAGGCTATAGATGTCATTTAACATACCTTGGACATGATGGGGACTTTCTTCTATATTCCACCATTAAATTGAAGTGACAAGTATAGTTTAAGAGAGAGAAAGAGCAGAAAATGTACAAAAGCATTTAAGACTTGAATTTGGAACATTAGGAGAAGAGGTGGAAACTGGTGAGATGTCATTTTCGTTTAGTTATTTGCTACATACACACTACACTTTCACTACCGTACCATACCTCTTATTGAGCTGGCTTATTTCTTTCACATCTTTTCCCAATTATTCATAAACTTTGGAACAAAAGTCCAATAATTTATTCAACATAATGCATTTGTTTTTGTTTGCTTTATACATAATTTTTAGTTCTATGTGGTTTTATCATTGCTTCCTTTTTTGGTAATTTTCTGAGTAATTCAATAGTACTTGTATGTGTTTGGATCTACACCAATTGTTAATATGTAACATCCCTACTTCATATAGATGTGTCTATGTCGCAACAAATGTTTGTGTTGAATATTAACACAACATTACACTGATCTCTGTGTTGTGTTAGATATTAATGTGTCAGTGTCGTGTTTGATATATTTACGGATATTGTAATTATTGATCTAACTTTGTGTTATTATTATTATTATTTTGTAGAATGCCGCCGAAAAACCTCCATTTTTCATGCCGAGTTGGACAGCAATGTATATTTTGAATGCATTTATTGTGGTATGGGTTTTGGTGGTTGGGTTTGGGTTTGGAGGATGGGCTAGTATGACAAATTTCATTAGACAAATTGACACATTTGGGCTTTTTGCTAAGTGCTACCAATGCAAGCCACCACCACCACTTATGGTTGCAGCACCTCCTCCTCATGCCCTTCATCATTGAAATTACAACTTACCCATCTCAAAATCATACTAGAATTCAGCTCAAGCTACTCTTTATTGTAATCTCTCATGGGTTCCTCAATATTTTGTAACATACATGGAGGGGTATAGTAGTAATACTCAACCTTCATTTGGTGTGTGTGCTGGCTGTGTGTTGTGCAAGTTTTTTTTCTCCTTTGTTTTATTATATAGTTTTTTTTTCTTTCCTTCTACCCTTTTAAGATTAGTTGATTAAAAATAGTGTGGATGAATGGTTATGATTCCTTTGCTATAAATGCTTAGGCTAATTAAATTACATGTGTTTTGGTATCTCCCTTTATTAATATTTGGTATCTTACTTTATTTCATTTTCACTTTTGAGATAGTATAAAGATCTTGCTTCCTTTTAATTTTGCTTTAAATAAATTTTCTTTAACATATGGATGAGATAGGAAGAAATCAATTCTAGTTTAAGCAAGATTTTGCGTTCGAACTCATTTTTACGTAAGCATGTGTTAAATTCTTTCTGAAAGAAAACTTTATTGTGTATTATGGTTCTCTTTGATTCAAAAGATTAATCTTTACAATTTATAGTTATGAACCGAGTCCTCGTTGACTCGAGATTATTAGTCCCTCAATTGCGTATGGGTTGAGAACATAGAATAACTCATTTTTAGAAAAACAAATACTTAGTAGGATTGAACCCTCATTATTACATTGCATGTTTCCAAAAGATACCAATGTGCAAAGGGAAAGGTTTTCTAGTGTTAATGGGTTATGTGTGGGACTTGTATAATCACTCACTTCATACAAAACTCTTTAGATTTGATTCCTCACTCTTTCATTCATAGTGAGAGGAATTCGAACGTGGACCCGTTTCTTATTCACATGGGCAGCATGTGATTTCTTTTGCTCTTCATGTGCTATTATTGAGACACCAATATTTAATTTATACAAATTATATTTTATGTTTCATTATATCATAACTCATGATTCATGAACCACTCTGCCACCATGTTACCCATATTTTCATGTCATTGCATTTGTTTATTTGTGTCTTTGATATTCATATTTTATTTTGTGAAAGGAAGTATACATGAGTGAATCTCAAATTTGGGGTGGAGTTAGATTTAATTGGTTCCCTAATTTGAGGCATAGAAGGGGATTCTTAGGGGTTTCTTTATCTGAAATAAAGTGAAACTACTTTGAGTATAAACCTAATACTATTCAATTGACTCGGTAAAAGATTTTTCTTTTTGGCTCAAAACACTTTTTTACATATTTTTTCAACTCATTGTTGTAAGTTACTTTAATCATAGGTCAATTATAGGTTAGTTAAGTTGGCTATTAGTTGTTATAACTAATTTTGCGAATGGTTGCTAGCTATAAAAGTGAGTTAGTTACTTTTGAGAGATAGTTTTTAAATAGTGTATGTGCCTTTGTATGGTTGATACTCAATCACATTGAATAAAATTCACAATTTTTCTATAATCTTATACTTTTATCAACCTTTCATTTTCTTTAGTGCAAGCAAGCACTTTTTCTAACAAATTGGTATAACACCTTTGGTTAAGGGGTAAGAATACACAAATTTTGAGTTTATCATTGTTATCAACCAAGTAAACATGGTAACGGTCTTTTCAACACATTACATTTCTAAGTCTCGATGACAAGAATGGGGAGAGACGACACATATAAGAGAAGACCTTGTTTGATTATCATTATTCTCTTGAAGTGGTTACAAATGGATTTCAAGAATTCTATACAAATGCAACAAAAGCACAGAAAAATCTTCACATAAATGAAAAAGAGAAAGGGCTGCAAGGCCATGTATTCAATTCAAGGAGTAGTAGATGCTACAAATTTTGATAAAATTTCTCATGCCGAGATTACAAAAGAGGTATGTGATCTTTTGATCAAATACTATGAAAGAGGCAAAAAGGTGAAGAGTGTGAAGTTGTAATCTCTGAGCAAACAATATGAATTACTGCAAATAGACAAGAATAAAATTATTGGAGCTTATGCATTAAAGATTCAAGGTCTGATGAGCTATTGTGAAAAGATTATTGGGAAGATGGTGATTTAAAAGGTAATGAAATATGTTATAGTTTCTACTCAAGATTCCGATAACTTAAAAACTTCGAAGATAGAATACTTTATAGGACCATTGGAAGCATGTTAAGGATTCTTGAATGGAAGAGAGTGCAAGAATAGGTTCAATCACTACAAGCTCAATCACTACAAGCTCAATCATTCAAGAAAAATGATGTTTTTGAGAAACACAAAGGCAAAAAGAATCAACCAAAGTCCAAGGAGTGTTAGGGCCAAACTGGCAAGAAAATATGTTTAATGGTAAATGTCGCTACTGCGAAAATCGGCGCCGGCTGAACAGAAGAGTCGCCACCGTGCGTTATTTATCCCAAAGGAGGGAAAGGAAACGCTCGAAGTAAACCTACCGCAAAGACGGGAAAGGAATGGTCATCGCAACCAAATCTTGGATTCGGGAGTCGGTTACGCAAGGGGAAGGTATTAGCACCCCTCACGTCCGTCGTACTCGACGGGATCCACGCTTGTTTTCTAGTACGGATTGTTATTCTATCTATTCTACAGGTCTGGGGTTAAAAGAAAAGAAAAAGACTCGGCAAAGTATTGCACTTTATGCCTACGTATTCCCGTCTGGGACGAGAAATCAGAGTTGACGTAGTTCGCCTACCTACGAGAAAGGAGGGAAGGTTGCTCGCTAGGATATCGCATCCTATGCCTACGTACTTTCATACATCATGAAAGATCAGAGCAAACGTAGTTCGGGCTACGGAAGACACAAGCTTGTCTGAATGTTTTTTTTTATCTCCTTATGAAAGGGTTTTTCCGGATTAAGAGTCCAAGCGGACAAAAATGACACTTTGATGTTTGTTTTCAGTCTTTTACGCAAGAACTGTCTTTTATGATGTTTGCAATCTCTGACGCACTAGAGACTATGATTTGAGGGTGACTACGTCGTATGTCACCCTAAGGGTAACACACTAAGCAATCAGATTACTGAAGAGTGACCCTCCAGCAACCTTTCTCAAATAGTTTAAGGCTCGTAGCGTACGACATCGATTATCCTTATTACTGTGTTTTGAATTGTTCTGAGGTAGAAGAGAAAGAAGTCTAAAAAATCCTAGGGTTTGAAAGGGAATCAAAACTACCCTAATGTTATCATGCATGGATTACAACCTAATGTCTGTCATAATTCCCTCATGCGCAGAGGAAATCAAAGATCCTAGGGGATAAACGAAAAAGAAACAGCAGATACAGTGAACAGTAAACATGCATGAGATGCAGCAATACACAATAGGCAAAGGAGAAAGCAATAGGCAAGAGGAGACAAGCTCCACCTCAAACCTAAGGGAAAATCAACAAACCATACAGCAAAGAAATCCACACTCAACACCAGCTCAGAAAGCCACACTAGCTCCTACAGCAAACAGTCCAAACATCACCAGCTCTGACAGCTACAGTTGATAAACCGCAAAAGGTTGACAGTAACAACTTTAGGCAAGATCCTATCTTCATTCTCCAATGATGTCCAAACTTCAGGTAAGCTCTTATCTCCAATAATCTTCAGCTTTAGCAAGCACTGAATCCAATAAGCAGACAACATCAAATAGTAATACAACCCTAACCTTCAACAGATATCCAACTTTGACAGGCGCAAGCTTCATTTCTCCAGTCTTTAATGCATTTTTGAGCTTCAATAAGTCTTCAACTTCAAGGCAAACACTCACAAGAGAGGATTAACTAATAGAGGAAGTTGAAATGTTAAGAGGCTTAATGATAACCCAGGGAAATCACCAAGATCTTAACACAACAAGTGACAGGTACCCTCAAGGTTCTACCCAATCAAAGCATGCTCTAAATCCCTCCTAAGGAGATATGGAGCTCTTTTTAGGGGACCTTGTATCATAGGATGGAATAGAGGCACCAGCAGCTATCTATGTTTGACAGAAGAAGTCAGTCTACTCTAGAGCTCTCCCTATGTCTCCTATCTCCTAAACCTTCATCAAGCAATCTTCAAGCACAAGCTTCAAGCATCAATACTTGTTTCCAATCATCCTCAAAGTCTTCACATATCCCTCAAGCCAAGCACAAGCTTAATCATCCAATGGCAATGCCCAAAACCCAACAAACAAACAACTTCCCAAGAGGGAAACCCACCAATATCAATCAATTTGCAAAAATCAAATAAAATGGAAAGATTTATCATAAGATACTAGATTTACTTCTAAGGGACCCTAGCTATGCACCCTATACCCCACATAAACCCTAAGGCCTAAATCAAACTAAAAACCCAAGAACTATGTGTTGAATGCACATATGTCAGGTTGCAAACCCTAATTCTAGCACCCTAAAGTTTGATGCTCAAAATTAACTAAAATTAAATCACAAAAATGTGATAAAATTCCAAGGGGAACCTAATACTATACTCTAATCATAGAAAAATGAATGGCATCAAAATGTAAAATAAAATGGTCATACTAAATTCAGCAAATAGCATGTATCAAGTGAAAATGAAATAAAAGCTATTAAAAGTAAAAATAAACCAAAAATAGAAAAATGCATGGAATGATATTTTTTATTCTTTTAGAATTTTCTTGAGACAATTATGAGAATGGAAAAAAAACTCCCATACAAAAATGTTGATTTTCCAATTTATTATGAATTTTCAAAGAAATTAAAATAATGTGTGAAAATATGGGAAAATATGAGGAAATGGAAAATGTGTGTGGCGAATAGCAATTATAAATGGTTCATTTCAGTAACTGGGCCCAGAAGGGGGTGGGGGTAGCAACGCACAAAAAGCCCCACTATGCAATCAGAAAATAAAAATGAAAAATAGAAAGGAAAAAGAAAAACTCGCGGTGCAGGAAGTAAGGAAATTCAGTGTATTTCCTATTGGGCTCTGAACAAGGGGTGTGGATATCATAAAGTTCACCTAAGCCCAGCATCAGCGTTTAATGAAACGCTGCACTTTGATAA